ATCCCGGGGTGCTCCCTGGACACTGCAGGAATCCCAGGATGGTTTGGGGTGGGAAGGGACCCTACAGCACCCCCATAAACCCAGGGTGCTCCCTGGACACTGCAGGGATGGTTTGGGGTGGGAAGGGACCCTACAGCACCCCAATGATCCCAGGGTGCTCCTTGGACACTGCAGGAATCCCAGAATGGTTTGGGGTGGGAAGGGACCCTACAGCACCCCAATAAACCCAGGGTGCTCCCTGGACACTGCAGGGTATTATCCCAGAATGGTTTGGGGTTCCAGGGGCACCTTCCCTAATGCTGGGGTGCTCCCTGGACACTGCAGGAATCCCAGGATGGTTTGGGGTTCCAGGGGCACCTTCCCTGATCCCGGAAGCAGCCACAGCTGCTCAGAGGATTTTCAATTCCTCCTAAAACACTTCAGAAAATCGATTCTTGTGTTTAATTAATTCTAGGAAACAACAGAAAGAGAGCATCCTATAGAAAATATTTGTGCTCTACTCCTACTTTTGGCAATTGACCGTTAATCAATTGTAACACTATTAAGCTGTTAATTAAATGTATTGGGGAAAGACATTCTTTTAAACTAAATACATCAAATTTTCCTAAAACATGAGGTGCCCTGCATTGCTCAACTCATCTTTTTAAAAAGACCCCAGAAACAGCAGAGCAGAAGTTTCCACCTCCAATATTCCTCAGCTCCAAATAAATATTTTTATTTAATTAGCTTTAATTATAAACACAGGGCTAATATTTCATTAAGCAAATCCTGATCAATTGGAGAAGTCATTATTTAAGATGCCAAAAAGAATGACAAACTTTAATTATCTGGTGAGGGCAGCAAAAATTTTGCCCAGAACCTTTTAAAACCCCAGATGTTGTGATTTGATCAGCCCTGAGCCCTTGAGAGGGGCAGGTCTGAGCAGATCCTGGGCTTTGTTTCACTTCACCTCTCAGAGTCCCTCCCCAAAAATGGCATTTCTAACGTCAAAGTGAGCACCAGCACGACCACAAAAGTTTGCAGAAACTCAAAACCACCCTGGTTTTTAAAAAAATCAACATAAAATCCCTTTCTTTTAGCCAGCGGACAAAACCAGTACTGAAGGTGCTCTCCAGAGCTTTTATTATATATATTTTTTTTATTTTGACTTCAAAGGTTTCTCAAACATGTTTAGACAAAAAAAAAAAGGCCAATTAATAATCCTCTTGTCTGTACTTTCAGCTTATGAGGCTGATTTTGGGGTGGTTTTTCTTCTCCTTGGCCACAGATTCCCTACTGGGAGCTCTGGAGTGATCACAACCCATTAAAGGTTTAAAATTACACGTGATTAAAATTCCCTTTTAATGTACAGTCACAGAGATTTTACTGCAGGCAGAAAACAATTCTGATCTCAGTGGCCAAACTGGATCAATTCTACCAAACCCAAAAGGTGCAGATGAACAGAAAATAACCCAGAACTCTGAGCTCTGCCTCACCACCACAGCGACCTGAGCACATCCCTGCTGTCACCGAGCGCTTTCAGGCACAAAAATTGATTTAATTTGAGCTGGGACAGCCCCCGGGACAGGGGAAATCCTCCTTCAGTGCTGCCCTGCACACCTGTGGAGCTGCTGTGCTCCCCTCAGACCCAGCTGGGGCAGATTTGCAAATAAAAGCACAAAAAGCAGGTCCAGGATGGTTGGTTTGGGGATAAAAACTCACCCAGAGCTCTCAGCTCCTGTCTAAACTCATCCCTCAACACGTGGGTGATGCACAAGCATTTCGTGGTTAATAATGGGATTTCTGTGAGGAACCCGAGTATTCCATGATCTTCAAACCGGACAAAAGTGTGGCTTTTTTAAAAATACGGGAGAGTTCTTTGGTGTTTTTGTTGTTTACTACGGGCACACTGAGATTGTTATCTCCATTCGCAGCACTTCTTGGGAGCTGTAATCCCAATTCCTCCCCTGCCTATGAGCTGGGAATTGCTAAATAAATACAATTTCATTCGCTTTTAGGTACCAGCCACCAACTGTAATAATAAAAAACACAAAACTAAAAGCTGTTTTTGAGCCACGAGGAAGTTGAGCTCAGAACTTGTCTCGGGCCTGGCCCTGCCACACAACCCCCAAACAAACCAGCCCAACAACCGTGCGGCAAGGAAAGTGGAAACTGAAATAAAAAACCAACATTCACAGCAACAACAAGAAGAAACTAACGCGTATTTTAGCGAGGGGAAGTAAAAAACCCGAATTTCCTCAGCGCCCAACTTCCGATGAGCAAACACCCCCAAACCCCGCGTTTGTTTTAAGGGGAAAGATCCCGAACTGACACCCGGCGCCGGTGGTTTTTNATCGGTATTAACCAAAACCAACTCAAAAATCAATCTCTATTAACCAAAACCAACTCAAAATCTGATCGGTATTAACCAAAACCAACTCAAAAATCTATCTCTATTAACCAAAACCAACTCAGAAATCAATCGGTATTAACCAAAACCAACTCAAAATCTGATCGATATTAACCAAAACCAACTCAAAATCTGATCGATATTAACCAAAACCAACTCAAAAATCAATCGCTATTAACCAAAACCAACTCAGAAATCAATCTCTATTAACCAAAACCAACTCAGAAATCCCCAAGGCTGAGCCTGAAGCTGGAATAAACATAAAACTGCTGAGGATTTCCCAGCCAGTGCCCTCTGGGCAGCAGTACCTGGTAGAGCTTGGTGTGCAGGGAGCCGCTGAACTGCATGTACTGCACCAGGTAGGAGCGCTGGCCCTCGTAGGGGGTGATGATGCCGATCTGGTCGGGCTTGGCCCCGGCCTTGAGCAGCTTGGTGGTGATCTTCTCCACGTTGGCAGCCTCGGTCCTGCAGGGCCACAGCAGCACAAGAGGGTCAGGTTTTAGCAAGTTAATGGGGTTTAAAAGGCTCCCACGTGAGGGTGCTTCAATGGAAAGATCAATTCTGCTCGAGCACTGCAATTAATTCAGCTGCAGCTCCTCACTCTGGACATGCACAGAGGAGCTGGGGCCAAACCCAACATCCCAAAGGCCTCAGAAGCACACACAGCCTTCACCTCCCCCTCCTCAGCACTGCACAGCAAACAGCAAAACCTCCCCAGTTCCAAACGGGATTTCTTGCTGCAGTTAAATGGACACAAGGAACTTTTACAATCAGCATCGTTCCAAACATCCCCCAGATCCTTCAGCTGCTTTATCTTAAAGCTTTAAATATGGAATGTTTTGAATGTCAATGCCCCCTATCAGGCAGGCACTGTGCTGTGTGTTTGTGCACAATCTGCTCCACTGTATCCAGTCTTGCACATGCAGCTCAGGAAACAGACTGAGATTAAAAATATCTCGCTGATATTTTGTTCACAACTTGGGCTGGCTTCCCTGCCAGGCACGTGAACAGCCGTGACCCAAGAGCAGCAGATTTCACATTTATTTGTTGAAAAAGAAAGTTGAATGTGCAGAAAAAAGGGATAGGATAAGAAAAAAGTGCATTTCCATCCCTTTGGAAGTAAATCTGAGATTCAGGATTCTGCTTGAGGAGTTATTGGAATTCAAAATGTGACTTGATCAGCAATTCCTGCTGGCCCAAATTCACCCACATCAGGCATTTCATCATGGCCTGCTCCTTCTTCACCCAGAGAGCTGAACTCCTGCACACAGCAGCCCCAGCTCTGAGCTGCTCCCTCCTGGGGCCTTTTCCTCCTGTTTGCTGGGAGAGGAGCCCAGGGAAAAGCAGCTCTGAGAAGCAGCTGGGGCTGCAAGCCCTGAGCAAGGCTTTTATCACCCCACAAGTGAGGATTGACCCACGAGGAGCCCCCAGCCCTGCCTGGGGCCGGGCAGAGCCCAGAGCTCACCTGTTCAGGTAAGAGGTGCCTGAGCTGGCAATCTCCTCCTGGCCCTGGGTCACGTAGAAGAACATGGGCTTGTCAGGCTGGGGCCACTGGAAATCAAAGCCTTTCTTCACCCTGTCAGCTGAGGAGCACAGCAACAGCAGCAGAACAAATCAGCAACACCACTCGGCAATTTCCATATCAAAGAGCCTCAAAATGAAGCGTGATGCACATTTTTTTATTAAAAAACCAAACCCAGATGAGAGAATGCCTGCTTTGATCCCTGCTCAAGATTTGCAGCTCTCCCCAAAGGCTCAGAAACCTTTAGTGTCACTCTCTTTTCAGATATCATTTTCATAGAAAATCTTNTCTGAGTGATGGGTGCGGTGACCAATGGGTTGTTGAGATGAGGGGGAGGGAGAGGGAGTGCGCGCCCTGCCCGCCCAGTGCACGCGGAAGGAAGGGGCGGGGTTTGATTCTGAGTGATGGGTCTGGCGGCCAATGGGCCATCGAGATGCTGTTAAGAGGGGGCTGGGGCGTGTCCAGAGCCGCCTGGAGGGGGGCTGCCCTCCCACACACACGCGGGGAGGGGCCGGTTTGAGGATGAGTGACAGGCGTAGCAGCCAATGAGAGCGAGAGGGCGGGAGTGCGCGCTCCACCCACTATCGCCCACGTTGTCGGGCGGGGCTTATCTCTGAGTGACGGCCCTGGTAGCCAATGGGTGCTTGAGATTACGTGCGGGCTGTGCCTAGCTCTGACTGACGGCTGTGGCAGCCAATGGGACACCGAGATGAGGGGCGGAGGCTGCGGGGGCTGAGGTGGTGGAGAGGTCACTGAGGGGGGTGTGGTGGCACTGGGCACTTGGGAGGGGCTGAGGTGTGGAGAGGTCACTGAGGGGATGTGGTCCTGGACAGGTCATTCTGAGGTGGCACTGAACCCTCGTGAGGGGCCGAGGTTCTGGACAGGTCACTCTGAGGCGATGTGGTGGCACTGGACACTCCTGAGGGGACGGGGAGGCCGAGGTGGGTGACCCTGTGGTGACCATGGGGTCACTGTGCCCACCATGAGCTGTCAGCTCTGCCTGTTCCCTTGGAACTGCCCCCCTGTTGGGGTTAAGTGGGCATTAAGGATGGGGAATTGCAGGAATTCCTGCTCCAGCTGTAATTCCTGTCACACTTGCAATAGCCCTGAGTGGAAGCTGAGCTGATCTAGGCCTGCTGGACTGGGGATTCTCTAAGGTCAGAGACAGAAGCACCACATTTCTACCTTTAAATACAAAAAACTTTGGATTTACCTCATTCCGTTCGATCAGCACACAATAAACCCCTTTTAAGAGAAATCTGTGTGTTGGGAAAGGCCGGATATTCATTCCCTCTTCCCTTCCATGCTGAGATGCAAATATATATCTTCTCTTATAAATAACTTGGATTTTATATTGCTGCTTTTGGTGTAGGATAAAGCCCAGCCTGAATCAACGTGTTCCAGATCTGCAGCTGCTGGGCTGAAAAGATGGAGACTGGAAAACATCCCTGTCCTGGGAATATTGCGAGCAAAAGGAGGGGAAAAAACAAATCCAGAAAATCCACTTCTGCAGAGAGACTGAATTAATCTCGGTTTTGAGTAGAATAAACTGTTCAGACCAAAGAGAACGGGGAGAAAGCGTGAAATAACATTTGAGGATGAAAGTGGAACCAGAGTGGGGTGGAATAAAAAAACCCAGTACAAAGCCAGGTGGCTGCTCGCTACAAACACTTTTATTTATTAATAAACACAACACACTCCCGACACTTGGCTGCCTGACAGAATCCTCAAAAGCCTTGGCGAGGGATCAGAGCTGTGCCGGGTTCCTGTCCCTGCCCAGGAGTAGCGGTGCGAGCTGGAAATGGAAATGTCCCACACACGGGGATGTGTGGATGTGTCCCCTCAGGGTGGCGTTGGGGACACTCTGCTGCTGCTGCTGTCTGAGGTGCTGAAGCTGCACGGCCTGCCTGAGCTGGGAACCCAAACTGGTTTGAACTGGGAGCTGGAATTCCCTGTATACCAACCCAGGGCACAGACGTGTGAATTTTGGGATAACTTTGCTCCATTGCAGCGCTGCAAGCCCAGGGGGCACTGGGAAACCTTTCAGGATAGAATGGATGCCCAGGCAGGCTGCAGAGCTCCCAGGCTGGGATTTTGGGGTGATTTGTGCAGGTTTGCTCCCTCAGATCTGAGCTGCTGCAGAGGAAAGGCTGTGACTCGCCGGGCCTGAGTGCTGAGCAGCCCGTGTGGAATCTAAACAGGCAAAACCTGGCACAGTTCCCTGCAAACCGTGCTGAACTCCCCGTTTCCCTGCAGATCAGCGGCTGGGATTCACCAGAAGAGCAGAAACACGGGTGAGTTAATATTTAGAATGTATTTTGTGCTGGCAGGAGTGGCGGTGGGCAGTGAGGGACCCGAGCAGCTGCAGGGAAATGCGGTGCTGGAGGAGGAGAGGCCTCCCCTGGGCTGGCTGCGATTGCAGAGCAGCCCAGCAGCTCCAGGATCCTCCTCCTGCATGGGGGCTGCGGTGGGATTGGTCTGCAGCAATCCCAGCCATGGAGATGGGGCTGCTGACGAGAGGGGGCACAGCCAATGGAGCCAAAACGGGGGAAAACGGGGTATTTTTACCCTGGGATGGATAAAAATGGCTTAGGGGGAGCTGAGGGTGGAGCAGGGCTCAGGTGGGCAGGGAAGCTCCCACCCAGGGCAATGAATGCACCCAGGGTGTTCGTTAGGGACTATAAATGATAAATGAAGCAAATTAATCACTTAATTTCCCCCCCCTGCTCTGGTCATATTTTTTTATTTTAAAACTCACATAATTCCAGGTTGGTTTGGGGTGGAAGGACCTTAAATCCCATCCATTGCCATGGCAGGGACACCTCCACTGTCCCAGGTTGTTCCAACCCCATCCAGGCTGTCCTTGGGCACTTCCAGGGGTGGGGAATCCACACCAATCTCTTCCAGTGCCTTTCATCATGAAGAATTCCACCCAAATTCTCCATTTTCTGTCTCTGTTTGTTGCCCTTTTCTTTCCTTTTCCCTTAAAACTAATCCTAAATGAAAATGCTTTAAAATTTTACTTATTTCACCTTTATTGCCTTTTTCTTTCCTNGCTCCATCCCTCACCTGCCAGAGGTGTTCCCACGGCCGTTGCAGAACCATTTCTTGCTGGTGTTGCAGTAAACCACACAGGCAGGGTCGTGGATCCCACAGTAGCTGCAATGGGAAAGGGAAAGGCAGCGAGTGAGTGGTTATTGCTGAGAGGAAAATCCAAACCTGAGCTCCAACTGGATTACAGGGCACAGAAATAAGGGGAATGGAAACTGGGGAACATCAGTGCTGGGAGAAGCACCAAACAGGAGCCAAATTCCTGTTGTGAGTCACAAATATTTTAATATTTAATTAATAATTTCATATGAAATATTCTCAATATTTAATATTCCCATCACTGGGGTGGCTGAGCCTGGGATTTATCTCGCAGGGAGCTCTGAGCTGGCCAGAAGGGGACATGGCAGCTCCACATCTGCTCAGGAGCAGCACGGGGAGCCGTTCCCAGCCCCACCTGCAGGCGTGCACAGGCAGGTCCTTGGTGTAGTAGGTGTCCTCCTCATCCTCCTCGAAGTTGAGCTCTGCCAGCAGCTGGCTGGTCTTGGCCACGTTCTCATCCACAGCTCCATTCTGCAGGATCCCATCAGGGCCATTCACCTGCATTGGGGTGCACACCCAAATGAACCCCAAAATCTCGTGTGGCACTGAAAAACCCCACAGCAAACGCTGCCAAGAGCACTGAATGCACACAATTGCACAGGGATCCCCATTGCCAGCATTTGCTCCTGTTTTCCAGGATTATTTCACTCCAGCTGCTAAGTTGGGATACAGTTTCCAGGAGGAGATTGCTTCCCTGCAGATTGTATTTTCCCACACAATCCCACAATCAATACCTGCTCCATCACCTCCTGTTTCACAGGATTATTTGAACTCCAACTGATAAGCAGGAAAACAGGGAGATTGCTTTCCTGCAGTTGCATTTTTCCACAGCCTTACATAACAAAATTCCATTTCACCAATTCCAGCAGTTGCTTTCTCACCCTTCTTTCTATTCCAGGGACCTACCTGGGCACAGGAATTTCCCCACCTATTGCTGTGCCCACCATGGGCTGCCAGAACCACGGAATTCTGCAACATTTGGTGCTGCCTCAGCAACTTTCCACCCCCAGCCTTTCTCCTGACCAAACAAACTCCATTTTTGGGCACTTTTAGCACCAGGAGGTGGGGATGCCACACTGGGATTTTGGCATGGCCACTGCAGCTGCTGCCCCTCGGTGTCCTGGTTTAATTTCTCCAGCCCTGAGGGGCTTCAGCACCTCAATACTGAGGTGGGAAAGACCCCAACATTTGGTTTATTCTCTGCCTTCTTCAGCAAAGATCCCACCAAAAGCTGAACAGGGATAATTTCACCTTAATCCATGTTAATTTTGAGTGGGAAATGTGGGAAAGGGGCCACCAAAGTGACTGGGATATTCCCAGCACAGCTGAGGGGAGGGCTGGGGCCATTTCCCTATCAAAGGGATAATTAACACCCCCAATGTTTGTAAAGTTAAGACTGATTTATAAATTCTAAACAGCCAAATAGGACAAAAATCACTCAAGGCCTTTGTCCCTGGATACAATATTTGAACAACTTGGATTTAATGCAATTTCTCTGGGAGGTGCAACTTAATTCTGACAGAAAGCTGAGGACACAAAACCTTTTGTAAAAGGCATCAAAAAATAAATTAAAAGTCGCCCTCTTCAAGCTGTAATGAAGCAAACTCAGCTTATTCCTCATTTAGAGAGATCCACATTAAAAATTTAACAGCCAATTGCCAGAGTTAAAGTCCAAAGCCAACTTCCCACTTGCCCTGAGCCATCAGGGCCTGCCCTCAAAGCCACCAGCCCTGCAAATGAAATGAGGAGCATTTCAATAAAATAAATAAATAAAGGGGCTGCCTTTTATTGGTGTTATCTCCAAGCTCTGCCTTTTAATAGGAACAATCAGCCCAAAGGAACTGAAAGTGCGAAAGGGAAGCTGGAAAAAGGAATCAAACCCCACAACCCCATGAGTGGGGTGAGGGCAAATCCCCCCAGCTCGGTGTGGAACGGACTCTGCACTGGTGTCAGCACATAAATGCACACTGCAAATCTCCATTTCTTCCAATATCCACCTCAAATCTCCATTTCTTCCAATATCCACCTCAAATCTCCATCTCCCACTGACAGAGCCATTCCAGAAAATATAAACAAGGCCTGATCTGGCCCAGGTGGGATTCAAAGGCTGGAGTTGATCTGAACTCTTTCCAAGCATTCCCAGGCACTCCCACCCCACAATGTGTTATTTTAAGGTTGGTTGATTTTAATGCGTTTTTTGGGTGCTCATACAAAACTGCCTTTGTGTTTTTAAAGCAGCAGCAAGGTCTGGGCTGGGTTTGGGGTTTGTGAGGCAGGAAAGGCAGCAGCGATGTCCCCTGGGCTGTGCAGAGCAGCCCCAGCCCCAGGCAGGCCGCGCACGAGGAAGTGATTGCTGCACACCCTGGTGCGATGCCAGCCCTGCACTGAACCTGGCACGGCAGCTGCTGCCAGGNTTAAAATTTTACTTATTTCACCTTTATTGCCTTTTTCTTTCCTTCTTCCTTAAAACTAATCCTAAATGAAAATGCTTTAAAATTTTACTTATTTATGAATACCAAGAAATGAAAGAACCAACCAAGTGATATTCAATTTATTGAATACCAATAAATGAAAGAACAACAACGAAAAATGTTTTTGAACAGATTTTTTTTTTTGTCTCTGTGCTGACAAAATTTCAATTTATATTTTTTTAAGGGTTAAATCCATAGGGAAAAAATTGAGTTTTTCCAGTGCAGCTGGGCCATTTCTGCTGAGCTGCCACGAGAGGGACACAGAAGGAAAGCAAAAGGAGCTGGGAAGGGAAGGATCCAAGGAAGAGCTCGAGGTGGGATCACAGCAGCACATTTCCCTTTTGTTTGGGAATCACAGCATTCCTGCAGCTCCCATAAAATCCCTAAAAAAATCCCTAAAATCCTGAATTCACCCCGTAAAATCCCAAAAGATCTTCACAGATAACAGGCTAAGAAATGGGAATAGTTAAAATGAGGTTTTTTCCCAGATTTTCCTCATTTCCCCTCAGCTTTTTCCCTTTAGAATGTCAGGACAGGGAGGGGTTGGGCTGGCTGGGATTTTGTTCCATCCCGAGCTCCTGGAGCAACAAATCCCCCAGGATTTTGTGGGTTTGGGGAGGTATTTCTGTTTATTCCCAGGGAATTCGTGTTTGGGGAGGTATTTCTGTTTATTCCCAGGGAATTCGTGTTTGGGGAGGTAATTCTGTTTATTCCCAGGGAGTTCGTGTTTGGGGAGGTAATTCTGTTTATTCCCAGGGAATTTTCACTAATTACCAGCTGGTGATGCAAATGCCAGGAAATCCCAAATCCCATAAAATTCCTGCATGGAACAAAGGCCCCATAAAACCCCCTGAAGTAAATATTGAATATTTCGTGGGCTCTTGTGGAATTCAGACTGCCAGGCCTGCAATGCCCTGGCTTGGAATTAATGCAGAGTGGATTTTTAGGGATCTGCAGTTGGTTCATCCTTAATGTCAGCAAAGCCCTGGCTGGGCAGGCTGGGATTGGGATGAAAATGCTGAGAAAAAGGAAAATGGGAGGGAAAAAAATCCTTATTTTTAAAAAAATTATAACTTTATGGACTTCAGTTTTACATTTCTGGGACAGCATTTTAATATCACATTGAAAGGCCCATTGAGTGCTGGGGCACTGAGTGGTCATTTAATATATATTATTATATTTATATAGCTATTTTTATTTTATACTTATATCCTATTGTATTTATATATTTTTCTATTTTTGTATTTATATTTGATATTGTTGTATATTCCTAATTGATGTTTATTTTATAATTTCATATATTTATATTTTTTTTGTATTTTTACCAAGCCCTTCAATGCCCAGAATGTTTTCACAAGCCAAGAACATGTCCAAAAAGTGTTATTAAATAAATGTCAGAATTTCTTTAATTTGCCAGAAATTTTAGTGCAACAGGAAATGCAAATCCAGCTCTGATTTCAGTGGAGAAAATTCACAGAAAAGGGTTTTTCCTCATGATTATTTTTGCTTTTACCCCTCAGCAAATTGTGATAAATCTGATTAATTTTGATTTACCTGCAGGTTTAATTGGGGATAAATATTCCCAGAACAAGTCAGGGGGATGTAACTCCATGAAGGAAAAGGAGGAGGAGAAGATTTTGGGCAAAATCCAGGGATTTTGAATGAAGACAATTCTCAGAAATTAATGGTGAGTGACATTAAAAGATAGCAGATAATAAAAGATAACAGGTAATAAAAGATAAATAATAAAAGATAACAGCAGGAGATGAAAGGGAAATGAAACTTGGTGCTCTAAACCAGCTCCAAATGGACACTAAAATAAATGAATAAATAAACTCCAATAAATTGGGGTTGAATATTAAAATAAGAATTAAGAATACTGGGTTTTAGTAGGAAACTTGAAACCCTTCCCTCCAAAATTGTGTTAAAATTCCCTTTCCTTGCAAAGAGCTGAAACAGCAGGACAGGACCTGGATTCAAGGAATTAATGCAGGAAAAAAGCTTTTTATGGGCAGAACTTGTGCCTTTTGGAGGTTCAGAACCACCATGGGAAGGTAAAACTCACTAAGAACAAACCAAGGGTTCCTAAAATCCAAGGAAAAGCTGCTGGAACTCCTGAATTTATTCAAGGAGAACTTTGGAGGATCTGTTCCCCATTAAAGCTGCCTCTGGAAGGAGCAGAGTTGTTAAAAATCCTCAATTTCCAAAGCTCTGGGGGAAAACAAAAATAAAATAATAAAAAAAAAGGGATTTCTCCAGAGCAGATGTTGTTGGAGCTGAGCTTAAAAACAAAATGTGGAGCCGTTGATGGGCTCCAAAATGTCCCTGTTTGTTGGGAGTGCTGGCAGCTTTCCTGGGCAGATGCAGGGCTTGTGGAGTAATGGAAAATGCACATTTCCCACAGGGCCCTGGGGCTGCTGAGCCTCCCCAAAACCAGGGGAAAATGGGAGATTTCCAGGTTATCCCATGGGAACTTGGGAGTGTGGGCAGGTGTGGATTCCTCCTCAGGTGTTGTGGGATGCAGGGTTTTCATTCTGGGGCCAGGCAGAACACTCAGGGTTAAAGCTGAGGTTGGGTTTGTATCTTCAGTGAAAACAAAATCTCCTCAAAATCAGGAATTTTGGAGTCCTACCCTGGCTTTTGGTGTAATGGAATAACATATTTACATTCTCTGCATAGAAAATAAATCCTCCCAAGGAAATCCTTCTTTCCTGCTGTGGAAAAATCTTAATTTGGCTCTTAATGATGAAATGATGCAAGGAATCAATAATTGGGGTTTGGCTGAGTGTCCCAACGTGTCCAAGCTGTGTTTGGCCACACCAGGACATTCAGGAGGGCCCCAGGACCAAACACCCTCACCCAAAAACGGCCTGAAACAGGAAAATTTCATTTTCTGGCTTCCATCCCTGAAGAATTTTCCTTTTCAATCCCTTTTGATGTTAAATTTACCCAGCTTGGCCTTATCTTTACCTTGCAAATTCTCCAAGTCTGGAAAACAAGGAGTGTAAAGTCATTTATGCTTCCACAGCTATAGGAAAAAGTGGTGATGTTTCATCAAATTTCAGTTTCCTTTTCTTTTTTTTTTTTTTTTGCTGACCAAAAATCCAACAGAACGGAGGGACCCCCGAAGCTCTGGGTGTTGGAGCTGCTTTGCCATGGCCCTGCAAGGAGCTGTTTGTGGTGTCTGGGCATGGTTTGGGGAAGGACAAGGAATGTTTTCATGTTTCCCTTGCAGGATTCTGTGGATTTCGGGAGGAACCCGGCCAGGGCTGCCCTCAGGCCGTGAATGGCCCCAGTGTAGTTCTGCGAGGCCTTCCCAGAAGTGAGGAGCTCCTTGGAGATGAGCCCAGGAACCATCAGCCAGCCTGGGAGGAGATCAAGGGGGCTGTGGGCTCCCGGGCTGCCCCACGGCCCCGAGGGGAACATTCCCAGGGCAGCGTGGGCCCGACACCCTGGGACTGAGAGCACAGAGAGCACAGAGAGCACAGAGAGAACAGAGAGCACAGAGAGAACAGAGGCACCCTTGAACTCTGCCTGTGCCCCTGCCTGCTGGGAAGGCTTCCCCTCATCCCCCAATGTTCAGGGCTATGACAGCTGCTCCTTTCCCTTTTCCCCTTTTTCCCCTCATCCCCCAATGTTCAGGGCTATGGCAGCTGCTCCTTTCTCTTTTTCTCCTCATCCTCCTGATATTCAGGGCTCTTCCAGGGCTCTTCTCACTCCTTTTCCCCTCATCCCCCAATGTTCAGGGCTATGACAGCTGCTCCCTTTGCCAGGGATGATCCCTTTTCCCTTTTACCCCTCGTCCCCTGATATTCAGGGCTCTTCTTGCTCCTTTCCCCTTTTCCCCTCATCCCCCAATGTTCAAGGCTCCTCCAGCTGCTCCTTTTCCCTTTTTCTCCTCATCCTCCTGATATTCAGGGCTCTTCCAGGGCTCTTCTTGCTCCTTTCCCTTTTCCCCTCATCCTCCCCATGTTCAGGGCTCTTCCAGCTGCTCCCTTTGCCAAAGATGATCCCTTTTCCCTTTTCCCCTTTTTCCCCTCATCCCCCAGTGTTCAGGGCTCTTCCAGCTACTCCTTTCCCTTTTTCTCCTCATCCTCCTGATATTCAGGGCTCTTCCAGCTGCTCCCTTTGCCAGGGATGATCCCTTTTCCCTTTTACCCCTCGTCCCCTCATGTTCAGGGCTATGACAGCTGCTTCTTTTCCCTTTCCCCCTCATCCTCCTGATATTCAGGGCTCTTCCAGCTGCTCCCTTTGCCAGGGATGATCCCTTTTTCCTTTTACCCCTCGTCCCCTGATGTTCAGGGCTCTTCCAGCTGCTCCTTTCCCTTTTACCCCTCATCCCCCAGTGTTCAGGGCTCTTCCAGCTGCCAAGGATGATCCCTTTTCCCCCTCATCCCTCTGATGTTCAGGGCTATGACAGCTGCTTCTTTTCCCTTTCCCCCTCATCCTCCTGATATTCAGGGTTCTTCCAGCTGCTCCCTTTGCCAAAGATGATCCCTTTTCCCTTTTTTCCCCTTTTTCCATGTGGGCAACAAGGCTGGTGAGGGACCCAAACCACCATCACTGTGGGGAAACCATCCCCACATTGCATTGTGCTGTGGCACAAACACAGGCACGGAAAATGAGATCAGAATATTCCTGGGAAGAGCTGTGCCTTGCTTTTCTCTGTGCAGAGCAACGTGGGGCTGTTTCCTGACAGGCCAAGGAACCAAACACCCTCACTGTGGGTGAACAATCCTCATTTTGCATTCTGCTTTGGCACAACCACAGGCACAGCAAATGAGATCAGAATATTCTTGGCAAGATTTGTGCCTTGCTTTTCTCTGTCAAGAGAAATGTGGGGCTACACACTTGGTCCTGACAGGCCAAGGAGCCAAAACACCAACAATCCCCACACTGCATTGTGCTGTGGCACCAACACAGGCACAGCAAATGGTAAGAATTGTGTTTTTCCTTTCTCTGAGGCTCAGAGGACGTGGAACCCAGCAGTATTCCTGGGAAGAGCTGTGCCTTGCTGCTCTCTGTGCAGAGCAATGTGGCGGCACAGGCCGGGCTGTTTTTGCTAAAAACGGCACCGCTGGCCCTGATTTATGAGCAAACAGGAGTTTGCAAAGGGCCTCGGGAGCCTGGCCCAGAAATCCATGAGCCTGATGTCATGTGGAGAGGGCCCAGAACACAGAATTATTTTTATGGAGTTGTTAGCGAGTGTTATTAAAAAACTGAAATGTTCGGTTGGAATTTATTTTCTTGGCTATAGGATGAGGACAGAGCAAAAGTCCTGGAATGGATGTGGACAAGACATCCCAGTTTTAGGCCACCCTTCCTGGCCCCAGATGAGAGCATGGCTTTGCTGGAAGAGGGGATTGCAAAAGGGGATGTGAGGGAGGTCTGGAGCAGTAATTTTAAACAGCACTTCAGCCATGATGTCATTTCAGCTGAAAAATAATGTTCAAGTTTGGGCAAGCAGAGCCCGGGGCCAGCAGCCAGCGTGGGGAGGAACTGCAGCAAAATGGAAAGTCCAGAAAGTGGAAGGTCATGGTGGAAAACCAAATGAGAATAACCTCGAAAAAAGGTGGATGAAAACCCTGGAATGTTCTGTGAGCAGGAGGATCCCAAGGAATGGAGGGGAGGAAGATGCTCAAACCCTGGACAGGGCTTTCACTGCTCTGCCTGGAAGTCAGAAGGCAAATCCTGGAGCACAGGAACAGCCTGAAGGATTGCTGTGACCCCAGACTGAGATCCCAGAGTGAGCCCAGATCTTCTGCTGCGATTTAACCCAAATCCAGCCAAAAGCTGCATCCACTCCTTGCCTGGGGAGGCCAAAAGGCTGAAACAACCAAGGGACAGTGTTCCAGTGGGCTGCTGGGTTGTCCAGTGTCACACCCTCCAATTTACTGTCACTTCTGGAAATCTATAAATGTTATCTATAAATCTATAAATGCTGGGGTCAGAAATTTAAAATTCTCTTTTTACCAGTGAGAGCTGCGTGTCCAGGCTGTGCTGGTTTGTGTCCTACAGAGGATCCCAGCTGGAACACCCTGACCTCGGTGTCACCCCCAGGCAAACCGCCCTGCACAGGAACATCCACGGGGCACCCAGAGCGCGCCCAGGCCGTTCAGGAGCAGAGGAAAGAGGAGCAGCTCTGCACTGTTTCACTGCTTCCATCACCT